CCAAGAAGCCCCAAGAGACGCCCAAGAGGCCCCCAGAAGTCCCAGCCAACCACGAGATCCCAACCAGCATCCATGAGGCCTCTGATCCACCACCCACGCACGGTGGCGGGATAGGCCGACGGCCACTGGATCCGCCGCCCCTTGCTTGCAGGGGTGCACGGCGTGCTGGACGATTCAGGTTTTGGTTTTGGTTATTTTTCTGAAAGAACTCCCCAGTGGGCTTCGGCCCGCCCCGCCGGCCACCCGTAATTTTCCCAAAATCAGTCCGTCAATGCCTTTGTGGCCCCAACTTGGCCCAAGATGGCCTCCAAGACGGCCGAGATGGCCCAAGATGGCCTCCAAGATGCCTCCAAGACGGCCACGATGGCCTCCAAGACGGGTAAGATGGCTCCAAGATGCCTCCAAGACGGCCCAAGATGCCCTCCAAGACGGCCAAGATGGCCCCAAGATGCCTCCAAGATGGCCCAAGAGGCCTCCAAGACGTTCTCCAGGAGAGCCCGAAGAGGCCAAAATCATTGGTTTTCCTTAGGTTTTTGAAGGTTTTTGTGCGTTTTCTTCTTTTCGGCCTTCCGACGGCCCAAGAGGCCCCCAAGATCGCCCAAGAGGCCTCCAAGAAGGCCCTATGACGGCCCAAGGGCCCCCCAATACGGCCCCAAGAGCGCCCCAAGACGGCCCAAGAGGCCTCCAAGACGCCCAACATGGCCTCCAAGACGGCCCTGAAGCGCCCCGAGAGGGCCCCAAGACGGCCCAGAGAGGCCCCCAAGACGGCCCCAGACGGCGTCAGACGGACCAGGAACGCCCTAAGACGGCCAAAGAGACCCCCAGGAAGCCCCCAAAGGCCCCCAAGAGGCCCAAGGAGGCCCCCAAGATGCCTTCAAGAGGCCTCGAAGAGGCCCCCAAGAAGCCCCCAACAGACCCCAAGGGTGCCCCGGGAGACTCCTAACAACCCTCATCCTCCTACTATATTTATTCCTCTTCCTCTTCCTGTTCATAATCATTCTCTCCCATGTGTTCCCCGAAAGCTTTCCAAACCGACTCGGGGAACTCATGGCCCGATAGCTTGGCCAAGCTCTAATCCAACTTTCGGCCGCATCGGCGTCTCCAAAAAGGCAGGGGGCGGCGGTGATTCGCCGTAGGCGTCTTCGATAAATGCTGAGTGAGAGGAGGGGAGGGAAAAAGAGAGGAGGGACGAGGGCGAATAAGGACCACATCAGTCGGAGCGCCCCGGATCGGCGGCACTGGCAGAAGGCCACTGCTATATATATATATATATATATATATATATAGATATAGATATATATATATATAGTTGTGCGCACCGCCCCTGGCCCAGGCCCCCTCGACAGTGAGGGGGCTCTCGGGAGGCATCATTACAATATACGGCGTGCTGCGCAGATCCTTGTAGAGCACTCCCGAGCGCCCTTCTAGGTCTGTCTGGTGGCCCCGTCTGGACTCCTCCGGGTACGAGTGATATGTATGTATATATGTATATATGTATATATATATATATGGACAGCCCCCCCAGCGCCCATTCCAGGCCTTCATTGTGTTGGCCATGTTCTACACTCATATTCATTCCCTTTTCCCTCCTTCCTGCACCCCCCTTCCTTTCTTTCCCCTTCCTGACTTACATCTCTCCCTGGCGTCAGCGGGGTCCTTTTCTCGACTCCACTCCACAGCGCGCTCTGGCCGCTAGAACGGCAGCGCACTGTAGAACGCGCACCGGGCGCCTTCCCCCGAAGAGGAAGCCCAAAGCGTGCAGGGGCCATCTTGCATACACGAAGTGCAACCAAACCCTATGATTTCATTTGGATTTCTGGGATTTCTGGGATGAGAATCAAGGAAACCCTATGATTTCATTGGGATTTCTAAGATTTTTGGGATTTGGCACCCCGAACGAAAATCAACGGCGCAGCCCCCAGGGCTCCGAACCCTAGGAATCCAAATGAAATCGCATGTCTTCGAAGCCAGAGGGCGCCAAACCCTGTGACTTCATTTGGATGTTTGGGATTTCTGGGATGAGGATCAAGGAAACCATGTGTATTTTTTTTGATTTTTGGGATTTGGCACCTCCGAACGAAAATCAACGTTGTAGCCCCCAGGGCCCCGAATCCCAGAAATCCCAGTGAACTCACAGGGTTTCGCGCCCCCTTGCTTCGCAAACCTTATGTTTTCATTGGGATTCCTTCGGCCGAAGCGTTCGAAGACTGTGGCGCGTGTGTGTGTGTGTGTGTGCGTGTGTGTGTGTGCTGTGTGTGTGTGTGTGTGTGTGTGTGTGTGTGTGTGTGTGTGTGTGTGTGTGTGTGTGTGTGTGTGTGTGTGTCTGTGTTCTCTCTCTCTCTCTCTCTCTCTCTCTCTCTCTCTCTCTCTCTCTCTCTCTCTCTCTCTCTCTCTCTCTCTCTCTCTCTCTCTCTCCTCTCTCTCTCTCTCTCTCTCTCTCTCTCTCTCTCTCTCTCTCTCTCTCGCTCTCTCCTCTCCTCTCTCGTCTCTCTCTCTCTCTCTCTCTCTCTCTCTCTCTCTCTCTCTCTCTCTCTCTCTCTCTCTCTCTCTCTCTCTCTCTCTCTCTCTCTCTCTCTCTCTCTCTCTCTCTCTCTCTCTCTCTCTCTCTCTCTCTCTCTCTCTCTCTCTCTCTCTCTCTCTCTCTCTCTCTCTTTCTTCGGGTCCCACAAATCCCAAACATCCTAACAATCCGAATGAAAACACATGCTTTCCTTGATCCTCATCCCAGAAACCCCAGAAATCCAAATGAAATCACAGGGTTTCGCGCCCCCCCTGCATATCAAACCATGCGTTTCATTGTGCTTTCGGGGAAAAGGACGAGGTGGAGGAGGAGGGGGGGGGGGGGGGGGGAGGGGGGGGAGGGGGAGGGGGGAGGAGGAGGAGGAGGAAGAGGAGGAGGAGGAGGAGGAGGGGGGGAGAGAGGAGGAGGGGGAGGGGCGGGGAGGAGGGCGGGCAAGCGTGCCAGAGCATCGCGCAAAGCAGGAAACCTAAGCGCACTACACGCAGTGACGCGGCACAGAACGGATCAGCTGCGTGAGAGATGCGGAGCGAATGCTAAAAACAGTATTGCACAGGGCGAGAGGAGGGAGATATGCGAGGCAACCTTTCGCATTCGCAGAGGGCGGGGGGCCACGGGGGGCGGCGGCGGCAGCAGCAAAGCTAGGCAGATCCCTGGGGGCGCTTGCTAGAGCAAACATCATAGTGCCACGCCGCTCGCGCCAACGCCATGCAGGGCGACTCCGCGCGGGCACGCGCGCGCGACCTGGGCCGAGAACAAAGTCCATCGCTCACCAGCCGTGTTTTTTTGTTCCAGGCCTCCTGCAGCATGGCGCCCGTCTCGTGCCACAGGTCCTTGCCGCGGTTCCAGTGCGCCCACTGGAAGCTGCGGACCTTCTGCGTGAGGTGCGCCGAGCCGACGGCCTTGTTCTTGCCGACGAAACGGCGGAGCTCGCGCCACGCGCCGTCGACGATCTGGGTTCCAGTCTTGACCCAGATCCTGTTCTTGGCGCCAGCCTTCAGGGGGTCGGGGACGTCGTGGTACCGCTTCTGGCTGTAGGACGGCTTGGGCCATACCCACTTGCCCGTCACCTTGGCCTTCTTCTTTTGTGAACGACCCAATCGTGGGCGACGCCCTGCTCCTTCAACTTATAAGACCGCGCGCCGTCCGCGTGGAAGATCGCGTTCCTGTTCTTCAGCCACTTCTTCGAGAGCGGCGCCCAATCCGCCTTGCGGATGGGCCCAGGGCCAGGGGCCCGACGCTTGGTCTTCTTCGGCTTGAGGCGGAACAGCACGAGAGACTCGGGGGCGCCACGCTGCACGATCCCGCCCCACTGCTCCCAAATCACTGGGGTCGCGGTGCGGGGCCCAGCGGCGGGGTCCTCCATCTTCCCCATGTCCACCTCGTCTGCCTCGACGTCAGCCCACTCCGCGCCCTGGCCGAATTTGATCTTCGGCTCGTTGGCGCGAACGTGCGCGGCGCGCGCCGCGTGGAGCGAGCCGCAGATGCCCTCGGCGGCCTTGTTTCTCTGCACCAAGAGGCGCGCTGTAGTTTGCGGACACCCAGCGACTGCGCAGAAGAGAATTGCGGCCTGGTCTGCACTGGTGGAGAAAGACTGGCCCGTGCCCTCGCTGAAGATTGGGTGGAAGGAGTGCGGCGCCACGCGGCGGCTGCGCCAATCGCGGCTGCAGCGGTGCCCCCACCCGCCGCCCTTCTCCCCGTGGTCCTTCAGAGGCCCCAAGACGCCCTCGCCGCAGTGAGGGCACGTCGCCCCCTCCCACTTCGGCAATATGTTCTCTCTGCGCAGCTTGTCAATCACGAACTTCTCGGAACGGTTGACGAAGTCCTTGATGCAGCTCGCCCAGGCAGCCCTGTCCTTGCGACCCCTCGCAATGGCCGCGGCGCCGTGTCGAATGTAAGGCACTGTCTTGGGAGGCGTAATCTTCTTGTTTATGGTCTTCTTCACGGCGCGGCCCTTCTTCGGTGCCTTCGTGGCCTTCATGCGTGAGCGCGGCGGCGCCATGGCGGCGCGGGCCTTGCCCCTCTTTGGAATCGGGAAGAACCGAGACATGGCTCGCGGGCGCGCGAGAGGGGCGGGGCCGCGCGCTCTGACCTGATAGCCAAAAATGCCGCTGCAATGAACGCGTGGGCAACGGTCGCGCAAGGAAAGCTGCTTCCGCCACTGCAATCCGCTCTTTTTTCTCCAGGCGTCACTGCAAAACTGGGGGCTGGGAACAGCGCGGCGCTCGACGGTCTCGTCTGGGGCGCAACCGAATGCGCCCGAAATTGACGCGCGCGCGCCCCCCGGCGCAGCACGGTCCACGGGCTTGATAGGGCAGTTGCACATATGGGAGCGACATCGCGAATTCGGAACGGGCAGGGCGGCACGCAGGCACCCAGTCTGGGGCGAAATAGCGCACCTGCGACCGCGGCCGCAAGGGCGCGCCTACGCCCGAGGCGCCCGCGCGCGCGATCTGCCCGCGGTCTGTCGATCACGCGCTCACTAGGCCGCGACAAGTACGCCGTCCGCGGCCGCCCCGCCGCTCGACGCAGATGCGCCCCCCCTCTGCGCCTCCTCCTCTATGATCTTCTCGAGCTCCTCCTCCAACGACTTGTCGTGCTTCTTCTTCTTCTGGGGCGGCGACGGGAAGCTGAGGTCGATGCAGCCGTTGTGGCCTGGCTTGAGCTTGAGGTCTTTCCAGACGCCAGGCTCAGTCTTGATGCGCTTGATCGGCGCCGCCTATGGCGTGCGCGGCGCAGCGGGAGGGGCCCCGGGGACCTCGCCAGCGCCCTCGCCATCATGATCCCCGCCGGCAAGGCCAAAGAAGTCCTCCTCGTCGAAGTCGTCGGGCGGGTTGGGCACGGCCTCCCCCATCGCTGGCGCGTCCGCGGCCGCCCCCGCGGCCTGGTCGCCGCTGGCACGCGCCGCGGCGGCGGTGCGGGTGGACTTCATGTGCTTGCCCATGAGCTCGGCCATGTCCCTCTTCTCGAACGAGAGCAGGCGGTCGAACTCCTCGGCGTCGCGGCGCAGGCTGGAGTCCTGCAAGTACGCCCAGAGGGCATTGCCTGCCTCTGGCTTCAAGTACCCCTCGTACAGCGGATACTTCTCGACAACGCTATTCTGGCCAGCTGGGCGGAAGTAGAGAGCGAACTTCGCATTGACCAATATGTTGCAGCGCTTCAGCATTGCCCCGACCTGACTGCTGGAGAAGTTCTTGGGGAAGGCAGGCAATGTGATGTCGATCGGGACTTGCGTCGTCTTCTTCGCCTTGTCGCCGCCCGTGACGGCGAATGCCCAATCTTCGGCCGACGGTTCGGCGGCCGCGTTGTACTTGTTCTCCCCGCCGAACCTCGCCCGGCCCCGCGCGAACTTAGCCGAGCCCCACCTGACGTAAGTCATCGCCTGCATCTGGGTCGGGTCGAAGAACGCTTACGGCAAGGCAAAAGAGGCTGGGCTCGTCGCCCCATCGATGGAGATATCTCGCGCCACGCAGGACGCGCGCGAGATAACGCCAGCGTCGGGCAACGCGGCCGCAGCCAGCCTTTCCCCCGCCCACACCTTGAGCACGCGGGGCCGCTGGTCGGAGAGGCCCCCGTCGTCGAATATGCATGGCGTTCATTTCTCACCGACCTCCCCGCGGAAGAAGTCCATCTCGGCCGACGCCCGCACCGCCGCGACGACATCATTGCCCTGCGCCTTCTCCATGTCTGCGTGCCAGCGCGCCATGGCCATCGCCAGGATGTACATGAGAGGAATCTTCCCGAATTTTGCCTCGCCAACGGTGCGCAGCGTGTTCGTCAAGAGCGTCTTGATGATGCGCTAGGCGATGTCCAGGTACCATGGGCGAATGTCATGAAGTAGGCATGGGTAATATGTCTCTTTGACAGCGAAGTGGTCCCTGTCCTGGATATTCTTGAGCACCCTGTCAATAAGCTCCCGCCTGCAATCGTGAATGGGGCTGTCTGGGTCGACGAGCTGATGCTCCACCCACAACATTTGCTCGCAATCGACATTCCCGCGCGGCGCCTCTGCCATGATGAAGGCGAAGCCGTCGGTCAGCTTCCTCTCCTTCTCCTCCACGCTGTCCTCGTCACCAGGCGCGGCGGCCGCTGGCACCGCGGCTGGCGCCTCGAACTGCCAGTACCTGAACGAGATGCCACCCGTGCCCATCGAGCATCAAGTACATCGTCTTCAGCGTCGTGTAGCGGTCGCGAGTCCAGTGAGGGACATATGGCTCGCCGACGATCAGCTCTCGCTGGATGGTGTTGAACTTCTCGTTGTTGAGGAACTTGGTGACTTTCGCCGCGAGGCAGTCGCCGTCAGCAGGCTTCGACACGCGCAGATTGAGAAACATCGGGATCTTTGTCTCCGTGGGGAACCCCAGAGGCGGCGGCAGCTTGTTGTACTCCCCCTTCAACATGTGCTCCTTGACCGCGCCCCAGTCGACAGCGGACAAATCGCCTGGGGCAGCGACCACGTCCACGACCCAACTGGTTGTCTTCTGGGTGCGGCCCTCCCATTGCTTGGTGGGCAAGTCCCACGCGGCCGCGCTGCCTGGGCTGCTGACGTCGTTGCCAACCATCGCCGCCACCGCGAGCATCGAGGGGGGCTTCTTCGCAACTGCCACTGCGCACGTGCGGTTGAGGACATCTTCGGTGTGGTTCGGGCGCTCCATGGCCTTGCCGAGGGGGGGCATTCCCATGGCCTGCACGTTCGCCATCGCGGGAGACTCCTGGCTGGCCTGCAGGCATCGGCAGCGAGCTTGAGCCAGCGCGCCTGCGGCGGGGGGGGAGGGAGAGAGAGAGATAGTGGAAGGCGGGCAGCTTCGACTGCAGAGCGCTATCATGTTTGAACCCCAACGCATGGGGCGATCTTATTCAAGATCCCCCGACAAGGGGGATCGCGTTAAAGATCCCCCTGGCTGGAGGCCAAGGCCAACGCAACATAGCATTTCGAGACGCTCGTGGCTCGTCACGCGAATGCTGCACGCGATATCGTACGAATCGATCGAACGGGGGGCGCACTCGCCAGACGGTTCAATGCGTCAACATGTGTGCGGTTTCCCCGACCAGGGGGATCTTGTTTAAGATCCCCCTAAGCGGTTGCCAAGGCCAACGCAACGTAGCATTTCGAGACGCTCGTGGCTCGCCACGCGCATGCTGCCCGCGATATCATACGAATCGACCGAACGAGGGGCGCACTCGCCAAGCGGCACAATGCGTCAGCATGTGTGTGTGTGTGTCGTTAGCAGCCCCTCGGAAGAGGGGGTCGTGGGCGCCTGCCCCATTGCGCGCCAAAGCAGCCATCCCGAAGGGGTGAATTGCCCCTCGAGACCCACCTCGCTGGGTCCATGGTGAGCCAGGCCCACCGCTTCCTGTCTTTGGGCGTAGCCCAGTGGTTGAAGCGGCCCTGTTTCGTGCGGAAAGCCGCAAGGGCAGCCTGTGCCTTGTCTAGCTCAGCCTGCTGCTTCTCGAGGAGCTGCCCCTGCTGCTTGTTCGCCTTCGCGAGCCGCTGGTTCTGCAGCTGCTTGACCCGCTCGTCCTGGTCCTGCGTCTTCTGGGACTCTTTCGAGAGCTGCCCCCTGAGCGCCCTGATCTTCTCGCGCAGCACTTCGCAGCGCTTGTTGTTCTGGAGGGAAACGTCAGCCACTGCGCCGCGCAGGCGCTTGCACGGTGCATGTTTGAACTCTTTGAGCGCCTCGTGCAGCTTTTGTTCCACCCGAGGCCTGCTCAAGAACGCCTTCAATGCCATCATGCGGGCTCTGTTCATGTCGTCGGCGCGCTCGCGCTCGAGCGCTTCCTTCGACGACGAAGGCATGATTGCAAGGAGTGGGCAACTTGAGCCAAGAGGGGGCTACGATAGCAGAAGGAATATGGAGGATACCCGGGAGTGCGATGAGGGGGATTGGGAAGGAGAGCGAGTGAAGCAGGAAGAATGCGAGGAAGAGGGGGGGATCAGGACAGGAAGATCGGATGAATAAACATGAAGGATGCTAGGCGGGCATAAGATTCTTGCTATGGCTGTGTCTGCAACGGGTATGCACGTTCTCTTCTGCAATGCATGCGGTGACATCGCCTCGAGTCGCGCGGCTTGTCTCATGGGTACCGTGTGTCACCCAGCTTTGAATGCTGAACTGCGGAAGTTGCGCCGTGGTCTGTTGCCGGGGGCATCGGGCAAGGTGGAGCTCGACCCTCCGTGGCGCCCATGGGCCCCGCGACCCGCAGGTGTCTCATCTTCCCCTTCCTCATCCTCCCCATCCTCCTCCCAGGTAGTGCGACGCTTGGGGGGAAAAGGCATGAAGGTGAAGAAGACGCGGATGGGGAAGCGAGGCATGAAGAGGAAGAGGGAGGGATCAAGACAGGGAAGGCGATGGGGGGAAGAAACATGAATGATGACAAGAAGCTGAGGTCAGCGACCGACGCAGAATCAATGGGCGCTGGGGAGGGGGGGGGGGGGGGCTGCGCATATATATATATATATATATAAATATATATATACACATATATATACATATATATACGGTATACGTTTCTGAGGACATTTTGTCTGGATGTTTCCATTCACCTTCAATATATTGTGCATGCAAACGCACGAAAACGATTGGGCCACATGATGGCACCATTTGCATTTCCAGTGCCATTGATGTTAGTTCCAGTCGTCTATCCGAAGACTGCCCATATGTTGCTCTGCTTCACGTGCGCTTCGTTTTACCCGGTCTACCAAACATTTCGAACGATCCAATTTTCAATTTTTAGTTCGGCCTGTAGAGCGACAACTTGCGACCCGATTTTCAATCACCATTCCATTGAAGGAATTTGTTTTTTTTTCGGGCCTGTGTTTTTATGTGGACCCTGAACCATTGTCTGGGATGTTCGTCTTGTCGGGGTGAAACTGGAGTTCCACGGCAATGGTCTCGGTGCTGAGATTTGCAATTCTTGACACTTGATGTAATGAAAAAAACCAACAAATATTCCCATCAATGCAACATAAGATTGTCAACAAAACTTTGCCGCCATGCGCATTGCAATTTCAATGCTTGCCTTCACCGTTTGGCCCGCGTATTTATGATCACGGTTTCTGATGCGCGGTTGGGTGATATGGAATTGACCGGACCTGTTTGTAGTTATAGAAAAACATGTGCAATTTATCGGTGCAAAGAACAACCGTCTGGTTTGGGTATATGATCTTCGTAAGATTTTAACAATACATTTCGGATAGAACGTGTTCGACGGCTGCTGACGGAAAACCCTGGGCCTCCACCTTCCGTACAATCCGCGTGCCTGGTGTGGTTGGAAATTCTTTACGCTTCGCGTATCCCCGCCAGCCCATCTCACAGCAGCAACTCTTGCGAAGCATGCCGACAGTCGTGTTTTTCAGGCTTGTGTCCGCTTGGCCCCGCATGTCTCCCCTGTTCCTCCTTCCTCCCGCCTCCTTGTACATCCTCCTTGCCGAGGGGGGGCGTTCCCATGGCCTGCGCGTTCGCCATCGCGGGGGACTCCTGGCTGGCCTGCAGGCAGCGGCAGCGAGCTTGAGCCAGCGCGCCTGCGGCGGGGGGGGAGGGAGAGAGAGAGATAGTGGAAGGCGGGCAGCTTCGACTGCAGAGTGCTATCATGTTTGAACCCCAACGCATGGGGCGATCTTATTCAAGATCCCCCGACAAGGGGGATCGCGTTAAAGATCCCCCTGGCTGGAGGCCAAGGCCAACGCAACATAGCATTTCGAGACGCTCGTGGCTCGTCACGCGAATGCTGCACGCGATATCGTACGAATCGATCGAACGGGGGGCGCACTCGCCAGACGGTTCAATGCGTCAACATGTGTGCGGTTTCCCCGACCAGGGGGATCTTGTTTAAGATCCCCCTAAGCGGTTGCCAAGGCCAACGCAACGTAGCATTTCGAGACGCTCGTGGCTCGCCACGCGCATGCTGCCCGCGATATCATACGAATCGACCGAACGAGGGGCGCACTCGCCAAGCGGCACAATGCGTCAGCATGTGTGTGTGTGTGTCGTTAGCAGCCCCTCGGAAGAGGGGGTCGTGGTCGCCTGCCCCATTGCGCGCCAAAGCAGCCATCCCGAAGGGGTGAATTGCCCCTCGAGACCCACCTCGCTGGGTCCATGGTGAGCCAGGCCCACCGCTTCCTGTCTTTGGGCGTAGCCCAGTGGTTGAAGCGGCCCTGTTTCGTGCGGAAAGCCGCAAGGGCAGCCTGTGCCTTGTCTAGCTCAGCCTGCTGCTTCTCGAGGAGCTGCCCCTGCTGCTTGTTCGCCTTCGCGAGCCGCTGGTTCTGCAGCTGCTTGACCCGCTCGTCCTGGTCCTGCGTCTTCTGGGACTCTTTCGAGAGCTGCCCCCTGAGCGCCCTGATCTTCTCGCGCAGCACTTCGCAGCGCTTGTTGTTCTGGAGGGAAACGT